TACTCATCCGTTAACGAAGGCATTACATAAACACATACCGCAGTAAACTTACGGACCTAAATCTCCCTTTCGGCCACCTCTCCAACTATGTTTTGGGCTTAAGTCTTTTCTTCGATTTTCTACCCCTTTCATTCGAATAATCAGATTAAGGCATGCATATTTTTGCTCGAGATTTTTTTTCTGTGGCACCTTTATTTTTTTTCCCGCTCACAGGCATTTATTAGTCCACTTTGGGACGACTATAGAGATTCAACCGCCGTTAGGCTAAATAACCGGGTGAGGGTTACCCAACTTAGAAGGACAGGTTGTCTTTACGTCATTATTCAACTTTCTTTTTTTTTTGGTACCACAAGTCATTTTCAATCATGCCGGACTATCACAATGAACTAATTGGGGAATACTTCTCAAATCCGAGTACTATGGCACAAATCTACACGTTGGACTCATTTCCTTACTCCGGGGAACCTAGGGTGCTCACATTATACCTCAATTTCCAAACTTTCCCAAGTTCCTTAGTTCAAACTCCTTTTCCCTTGAACTCTAAATACTCTCTTGACTACCTTACACACAACCCGCACACAAGAAAAATTCTTTTACGGTTTTCGTAGGGGCGAATATGTTGTGGTATTTACCGAACTTAAAATAAAAAGGGCTTAACTTGACAATACAAAACGGTAAAACCTTCCCCAAACTTGAACTAAACATTGTCTCAATGTTCAAGAACAAGAGAAGAAGAGGTGTACTCACAGAGATCCACACAGAGCGGTCGATAGGTAATGCAACACCTCTTCGCTGCTACCACATTTTCCCTTGCGAAATCTCATTTATTCCTGCAAAAACAATAACTACACAAAAAGAAATAACATCAATTCATAAAACCGTGGGTTGCCTCCCACGCAGCGCTTCGTTTAACGTCGCATGGCTCGACGATAGACTCCTCATTATTATGGGGGGTACTTCAGCCTCCAAACTCTATTGCTCGACTTCTTCGCAACAGAATATTGTGCCGGTTCAGAGATAAGAGCAACTTGAAATGGTTTTGATCGTTCTCCCTTCTTAGTTGTGTTGATTTTCCCAACTGAAAGTTTGACATCTTTCTCCTTACCTTTCTTTCGACCCTCTTAAGTTTTTAAAGTGATTTCCTCATCAAAAAATTTCAAAGTGAGCGTACCTTTTTCCATATCAATATTGCACCGACTAGTAAGCAAGAACGGCCAGCCAAGTATGATCGAAGTTTCTTCATCCTCGGGTATATCCATGATTTGAAAATCAACTGGGTAAGTGAAGTTATCGATTGTCACTAGAACATCCTCTGCTAGCCCATATGCCATCTTGGTTGTGTGGTCGGAAAACTTCAAGCTTGTTCCCGTATCGCTCACTTTTCCAATATCCAGCTTTTTGAAAATAGATAACAGCATGAGACTCACACTAGCACCTGAATCAATTAGGACTTTCTTAAAAGTTCGATTTTTTATAGTACAAGGGATTACAACTGGTCTAGGATCCTTCATCTTGATGGGTATTTTCCTTTCTTGTGCTATTTCCTTGCATTGCTCAGTTATGGTCTTTGATTCTTCACCCATTGGTCTCTTTTTACCTATAACCTCTTTCATGAATTTCTTGTACAAAGGCATTTGCCAAGTGCTTCAAAGAACGACATGTTGATTTCCAATTTGTTGAATATTGCACTGAGCTTTCTGAAGTCTTTCTCGTTCTGATCCTTCTTTGCAACTCTTTAAGGGAACGGTAATTTGATTTTTGGTTTGGCCTCCTCTTTCTTTTTCTCCCCAGTTGACTTTTCAGATAGCACAACTTCTTCTGGTTCTTTTATTTTTTCTCTTACCTCAAGTTCCACCTCTATGCATTCTTCCTCCTTTGTTTCCTCCTCTTCTATCACTTTCTGATTTCTTGTTGTGACAACATTAATACTCTCTTGATTTTTCGGATTCGGTACTATCGCGCTCGGGAGGGTTCCTTGAGTGTGTGTTGAGAGGTGTTGGGCTATCTGTCCCATCTGCGACTCAAGGTTTTTAATGGAAGTTGTGTTGTTCCTTTGAATGTTCTGGGTCTCTTCTTGGAATTGCATACTTTGAGCTGCCATTCTTTCAATAGATAACTCCCATTCTGCTTTTTGAGGGGCCTGTTGTTGTTGATATGGAGGTTGATTTTGGTCTTTCCAGGAAAAATTAGGATGATTCTTCCATCCTGGATTATAGGTCTGAGAATACGAATTATTCTGCCTCAAAACTTTTATCTCTTCGACTTGTTGAGTAGTAGCAAGACAATGCACAGTAAAATGGGGACCATTACAAACCTCACAACTCACAACTTGGACCGGTTGAACTTGAACTCCAGTTGCAGTACTCACATTCATCCCTTTAAGCCTTCTTTCCACTTCAGCCTTGATTTGATCTTCCATGTTCGCAACTTGTTCCGCTAGTGTCAAATCAATCTTACCCTCTGGTTGGTTCACAGTGTGATCATACAACTCAAGATGCTCGTTGGCGGCAATTGCTTCTATAATCCTCTTGATACCAGTGGCTATTGAGAAATTAGTTGAGCCACCAGCAGGAGTATCTATAAGCTATTTTGTCTTGATTCTCAAGCCATTCACAAAATTCTGCATCTGCTCAGTTGCATCCATGTTATGAGTTGGGCATGCAGTCAGACACCTCTTAAACCTCTTGTATGCATCTCCCAGAGATTCCCCTTCTTTTTGTTTGAAGTTGACAATGTCGTACCTTTTTCGAATAAACACTGAAGCAGGGAGATACTCATTAAGGAATGCAGTTTCCATCTCTAGCCATGTGGCAATACTCCCAGCTGGAAGTGAATAGAACCATTCTTCCGCATCATCGGTCAGTGTGAATGGAAACATAACAAGTCTCTTGGCGTCTTCGGAGTGACCTTCTATCTTCAGAGATGTGGAAGTCGTTAAGAATCTCTGTAGATGCTTGTTTGCGTCTTCATTGATTCTTCTTGCAAAAGGCTTGCTCTCCAGCTGGCGAATGGTGGACGGATGTAGCTGAAAGTGTGTCACATTCACCGGTTGATTTACGATAGTCATCCGGTTTGGTTGAGCATTGGCCCCTCCATAGTCTCCCAAAAGTCTTTCAGGCTGAGGTGGATTCCCAGCCATTTGAACAGTTTCTGGTGTTGTCTCCCTCTCTGCTTCTGAATCGCTATTCACAAATACAACTTCTTCGTTTTCTGCAATTTTGGCTTTTCTACGTCTGGAGTGCAACAATTTTTCAGGTTCTGAGTCAAAAGAAAATAAAGCTGAGGTCTTACCTCGCATACACAGGTTAGGAAATTATTAGTAATAACAGAAATATAATCAGAAAAATAATTTAAAATTTTAGTCACAGAGTGACAAAATTCTAATTGAACGAACAAGATACTTCAAAATTTTGGCAGTCCCCGGCAACGGCGCCAAAAACTTGACCGGTAAATTAGCAAGTGTACTATTTTCACCGATGTAGTGATAAGGGGAAATTCCCCGAATGTCGATCTCTGAGGACTGCGTGTAAATTTTTAGGAAAAACTTGTTATTTCAATCAGACAAAATAACCTTGGGTTTCGTTTGGCAAAAGGATATAGGGACAAGTAAAATAATAGACTTTATAGATTAAAATAAGATCAATGTTAGGGAAGTGGATAAATTGCTAGTAAAGACCTTAAAGAATTCTTCTGAGATATTTGTTTCCAACCTTAAAAAAAATCAAATTTCAAAAGTAGTTTTCCTTAATTCCTTAATGAAAAACCCTTTGATGAATTTCATACACACTAATTCCTTAGTTGCCCACGAAAATCATCAAGCAATAGTTCTGACATAAAAAACACGTTGCTACGGGATACCCCCATTCCTAGGCAATATCAACTGTAACATTATTTTGCAAAAGCATTAGGTCGACTTTCCAGAAAAAACCTAATCGTAAATCAAATTCTATTTTCCAATATGAATTAGCATAAAGATCGTTGCAAAATAAAAGGCATAAGGTGAACAACAAAAATCTCATAGAATAATCCCAACAAAGGTTAATACATCGCAATTTAGGACCACCCCCTAATAATTGGGGGTTTAGACACTCATAATATTCGATAAAAACAACATGATAATTAGAAACATTACAATGGTATTAGGAGTGAATTCGATCTTCAATTTCTTCCAAGCATGAAAATCTCCTTGTCCTCCCACTACGCCAAAATTGATTTTTTGTATCGCCTACTTTAATAGCGCTTTTGAAATAAGCGCTATTAAAAAAGAAACAAACATATTTATAATAGCGCTTTATAGTAAAGCGCTATTAAAGAGTACAGAGAATATGATTTTAATAGCACTTTGTAAAAAAGCGCTATTATAGATATTCACTAAGATAGCGCTTTTCTAAAAAGCGCTATTAAAATGTTGTATTACAATAGCACTTTTATAAAAGCGCTATTATTAAAAGCACTACGATAGCGCTTTTTAAAAATCGCTATTAAAATATGTAACTACAACAGCGCTTTCTATGGAACCGCTATCGTTTCTATAATTGTGTTTTAAGATAGCGCTTTTTGAAAAAGCGCTATTAAAATATTCCACTAAATTAAATTAATTAAAATATGAAAACCTGCCCCAAATGTTTTTCGTTTTCTCCCACGCAAAATTCATCACCTCACGGCCACCGCAAAATTCATCAGCTCACCCACTCAAAATTCTTTCTCCCACGCAAATTTCATCAGCTCACCACCGTCATCCTTCTCCGTCGAAAGGAGCTGCCGTCATCAGCTCACCACCTTCATCCTTCTCCGTCGAAAGGAGCCGTCGTCATCAGCTCACCACCGTCACCCTTCTCTTCATTGATATCCGGTAATCTTTCTTTTTCTCAAATGATTGCTTTGTGTTAAATTGTAAAATTAGGGATTTGAATGCTTTGTGGTGTAATTATGACCGGTAAAATTAGGGATTTGAATGCTTTGTGTTGTAATTTGTGTTAGTAATTTGAATGCTTTACGCCATGGTTTTCTCTTCAAACCCCAATCCCAAACAACACCAACGAATCGCTGTTGGAAGTTTCATCGAAGAATACACTAACCGCGTCGATATCCTCTCTTTCAACCCCGATACTCTCTTCATTAAACCTCAACCTTCACTTTCATTCGATCACCCTTATCCACCTACCAAACTCATGTTCCACCCTGCAACCCATTCACCCCTTCAGAAAACATCCTCCGACCTCCTCGCTACCTCCGGCGACTATCTCCGCCTCTGGGAAGTTCGTGAGAATTCCGTCGAGGCTCTTTCACTTTTTAACAACAGCAAAACCAGCGAGTTTTATGATCCGTTAACCTCCTTCGACTGGAACGAAATTGAGCCGAAACGCATCGGAACTTCGAGTATAGACACGACTTGGACTATCTGGGACATTGAAAGAGGGGTTGTAGAAACTCAGCTTATTGCACATGATAAAGAGGTTTACGATATAGCTTGGGGGGAATCGAGAGTTTTCGCTTCTGTTTCTGCTGATGGGTCTATTAGGATCATTGATCTAAGAGACAAAGAACATTCTATTAGGATCTTCTGGCTATGAAATTAATCAGCTTCAGTGGTCTGCTGCTCAGCCGGATTGGATTGCAATTGCTTTTGCAAACAAGATGCAGCTTTTGAGGGTTTGAATTTCAGGTCAGGGAATAGCTTGCTTGTAGTTTTGGAAAACCAAATTACTCATTGCAGTGTTGTGAGTTGTGACTCATATGTATTGAGTAGTCTAGTTTAACTTGGTCATGCATTAATTAGATACGAGTCGATGACTCTTATGCTTATGCCTTATACTTTAGTACTGTCTAATGTATACAATGGCGTCTTTTGGTGGCCTTAAACTACCACTGTCTATCATATATAAGTACTTTATCCCGATTCAAGCTTGTGAGCATAGTTTTAAATTGATGCGATTGCAGTTGGGAGTGTTGCAATTGTGGTTGTTGCAATTCGTATAGCCGTCTTTGCAGGTGACTTTTAATTGAGAGATATTTAAAATATAAAATTAAAAAACTGGTTGTATCTTTGGATGTAGCAGTGTTTTGGTTGGCAAAGTGGTTACTAGCTAGTTGATGTTGTTTTTGTTGTCCTTAATTTTCTTGTTTTTTTAGATGTTTTTTTTCATTAGTTTAGAGAATATGCCTAGCTAAGTGATTGTACTTTTTGTTTAGAATTTGGTTTGAAGTACTCTTAGCCAAATTAATAACTACATGACAAAATACTTTAGTTGTGTTTATAAAATATTTTGGTTTGAAGTACTCTTAAGCCAAATTAATGGTATCACATTTGTCATTATTATTTTAATTTCAAGTATTTTAGCTACTTAATTAGTTATAATTATTTTATGAATTTTAATGTTGTAAAATGCAAATGCCATATATATATATATATATATATATATATATATATATATATATATATATATATATATATATATATATATATATATATATATATATATATATATATATATATATATATATATATATAAAAAATGATTTGGTGTAAAAAAAAGTGTATTAGAATAGGGTTTTGAAGAGGGTGTGCTATAATAGCGCTTTGTTAGAAAGTGCTATCAAAATTAAAGTAATTTACCGGTATTTCAATAGTGCTTTGTTTGGAAGTGCTATCGAATATGTGGATTATAATAGCGCTTTGTTTGAAAGTGCTATTAAATATGTGTCTTATAATAGCGCTTTATTGGAAAGCGCTATTAAATATGTGTACTATAATAGCGCTTTGTTTGAAAGCGCTATCAAAATTAAAGCAAATTACATGTGCTATAATAGCGCTTTTTTTGCAAGCGCTATCAAATATGTGACTTATAGTAGTGGTTTTGTAAAAGCGCTATTAAAGACAGGTCCTATAATAGCGCTTTTGAAAAAGCGCTATTAATTACTAGAACTATAATAGCGCTTTTAAAGCGCTATTAAAAATTTTGTTTTACAATAGCGCCTTGATTAATAGCGCTTTAAAGCGCTATTAAAAAGCAAAAAAGCGCTATTAAAAAACTTTTTTGTAGTAGTGTCCCAATTCTCCAGAGCTTCAATCTCCCGTTGTATTTGTTCGTATAATCTAAAAATTCCCCTCTCCTTTCTCCAAACACGTAACAAATAGTCACAAATCCAACTCGGAACTAGGGAAATACCCACAATACCCTCGGGGATCACAAGAGTAAAAAATACAAGAAAAATAGGGAAAAAAGCGCTTCCTGCAACACGGGTCGTGTCAGGCAACACGGGCGGCCCCGTTGGCTTCCTGACACATTTTTCGCGTGAAATTTTCACGTCCCAGGTGTCCTGACACGGGCCGTGTCACACAACACGGGCACCCATGTCAGGCCACTATTTTCCACCAAAAATCACCTTTTCTGAGCAAATACTGCAACACGGGCCGTGTCACACAACACGGGCACCCGTGTTGCACCCCTGTTTCGAATTTGACTTCGACTCCAACAAAAAAGTCGTAGCTCTCTCTCTTAGCTTTCCGGCGGTTTTTAGAACGCCTCAAATGGATTCCCGGAACTCCAGTTATGATTGTTTCCGTGCAGACTGCTAAAGATTTCACAACAAAACTCTTCTGAAATCTTGCCATTTTCCCCCAGTTTTCGCTCTGCTTCTCCTTTATTGTATACCTGACCTAGAAACAGTGAAAATACCAAATAGACGCGTAAAATGTAATAAAAACAACTAAAATGCGACAAGACAAAACAAATGATTAACTGAAATAAACGGTAAAATAACGTGTAAAAACCACCGATCACATACTAACTTCTCTTTTCCTGCTTCAATAAAACCTTCAGGTTGAATCATGTAAACATCTTCAACAAGTTCTCCATTCTGAAAAGCTGTCTTCACTCCATCTGGTGAAGTTCGAAATTAAAGTGTGCAACCAAAGTCATAACAACTCGAAAAGCATCTTTGGTAGAGACGGGTGAGAAAGTTTCTTTGTAATCAATCCCTTCTCTTTGACTATAGCCCTTTGCCACTAGTCTGGCTTTGTATCTATCAATTTTACCATCAGGATTACGTTTAGTTTTGAAAACCCATCTGCATCCAATGGCCTTGCAACCAACTGGTAACTCTGTGAGATCCCAAACACCATTAAGAGACATATAATTTAATTCATCATGCATAGCATGCAGCCAATTAGAAGCATGAGAACAAGAAATTGCTTCATTAAAAGTGGTAGGGTCATCATTATCATGAATGTCAAACTCATGCTCTTAGAGATACACAACAAAGTCATTTGATATTGTAGGCTTTCGAACTCTCAGAGAACGTCTCAATGGAACAACTTCACTAATGTCACTTGGTTCAACAACACCAATAGGCTCTAGGGTATCAATTTGTTCACACTCATCTATTTTTGGTGACACAACTTGATCATTATTTTGAATCACTGGAATCACAACCTCATTACGGAAAGGAACGATTGGTATAGGGAGAAAAGTATGATCTTCTTCAAGAGTAACTGGTCGTGGCGTAGAGACTCCACTATCCAAATCACCCTCAAAGAAAATTGCTCTATCAGATTCAACGACTCGTGTAGAATGAGAAGGACAATAAAATCTGCAACCTCTAGACCCAACACTATATCCGATGAAGAAACCACTAATAGTCTTCATATCAAGTTTCTTCTGTTGAGGATTGTAATGTTTAACTTCAGCTTTACAACCTCAAACATGAAAATGTCTCAAACTTGGCTTCCTTCATGTTAATAGTTCATAAGGAGTCTTCGACACTGATTTACTAGGCACCTGATTTAGAATATAGACAGCAGTCCTCAAAGCATCACCCCAAAGAAAATCAGGCAATGACAAATGACTCATCATGCACCTAACCATGTCCATAAGCGTGCGATTACGTCTCTCTGCAACTCCGTTCTGCTGAGGAGTACCTGGCATAGTGTATTAAGCCTCAATACCACATTCATCTAGAAATCTAGCAAATGGTCCTGGATTTCTTCCTGTCTCATCATATCTACCATAATATTCTCCTCCTCTATCAGACCTCACACATTTGACCTTCTTTCCTGATTTCAATTCAATGGCAGCTTTAAAAGATTTGAAAGCATCCAAGGAACTAAACTTGTCTTGGAGAAGTTCTATCCATCCGAATCTGGAGAAGTCATCTATGAAAGTGATAAAATACTTGTATCCACCCATAGCAATGGGTGTAATAGGTCCACACATATCTGTGTGAATCAATTGCAGTATAACTTCACACCTATTCGCTTTTGTATTCTTGATTTTGGCAGTGAACTTTCCTTTGAGGCAATCAATGAAAGTTTCAAAATCAGAGAAGTCAAGATTAGGAAGAATACCCTCCTTAATTAGTCTTTCAATACGAGGTCTAGAAATGTGCCCTAAGCATCTATGCCACAATATCGAAGAATTCTCATCTTTCCTATTGCGCTTTGTCCCAACAACATAATTAACAAACATCTCATTCACATTCAACATATATAAACCATCACACAAATTTCCAGAATCAACAATAGCAGAATTAAAACAAACATCAAGTTTTCCATTACCAAAAACAAAAGAGTAACCACATTTATCCAAAACTGAAATAGAAATCAAATTCCTTCTCATTGAAGGTACATAAACTGCATCTTTTAAAATCAAAATGTGTCCAGAAGGTAAAAACAAGGAAACAACTCCTATCTCCATCACTGATACTCTAGCTCCATCTCCCACAATGACCTTCGCCTCAACATCACTTGGTTTCCTCAGGCTTGTGAACCCCTGCAAAGAATTCACGACATGAATAGTGGCACCTGAGTCCAACCACCAAGTATTGGAAGGAACATCTACTATATTTGATTCAAAACAAGCTAGAGCTAAGAGTGTACCTTGTTTTTCCAGTTTCTTTTTCAAGATAAAACAATCATCTGCCTTATGTCCATACTTCTTGCAGTACTTGCACTCTCCTTTAAAGATATTTTTCTTAAAAGACTTATCCTTAGGCTCCAAATATTGTGTTGTTCCTTTTCCTTTCTTATCATCAAAATGGCGTTTTCCCTTATGGAAGTTTTTCTTATAATTCTTTGTTCCTGAAGTAGAAGCAGCAAACTGAACACTTTGAGCTTTTGCCTTTTTCATAGAATCTTCCTCTTGAGTTAATATGGCTATCATCTCATCCACAGACCATTCAACTTTCTGAGTATTATAGGAGGTCCGCATAACATCAAATTGGGGAGGCAGAGACTCAAGAACCCTTCAAATTAAAGTGCTCTCACCAATTTCAACTTTGAGAGTTTTAAGCTTATTATAATAGTGGACCAACTTCATAATATGCTCACGCACACCACTAACACCATCATACTTAGTTTTGTCAAACAGAGAGAGATACTCACACTTCTTAGCCTTATCAAAACGAGTGAACTTCTCACCAACAGACTTCAAGTAATCTTTAGCACTCTCACTTTCTGGTATGCTTTGTCTTATAAATTTTTCCATAGTGTAAGATATCACCTTAAGGCACACTCTATTGGAGTGTTTCCATTTTTCATAAAGGGTCTTTTGAGCTTCAGTAGACGTGTCAGTAA